CGCGCGGCTGCATTCTGGACCAACTGCAGTCTTCGAACACTCTTCAGGGGCAGCCCCATGTAATTTGCATCTATGATTTTTCTATCTGAGAATAATCCCACCTATCAAATTAATTCCAAATGAAGAGTGACAGAATACTATCGGTTAATTGCCAACATTGGTAATACGTTTTAATTCTGAATTCAGATTGATTCCAGCTTTTACTAATAAAGTCTAAATGCCAGAATAGAGTATTAGGGGCACAGGGGGGGGGGGCTTTTTTCCCCATAAATGACCTTGGAATGGGTTAATGGAATGTAATGCTGATGCTATCCCTCTTATTTCATTACATCCCTGAAGCAAGGGTACCAGTTACCAAGATATTTCTGGTCAAGAGACGTGACTCACCTACGTCAGGAAATAGAAGACACTTAAGGCTACAATTTGGGGTTCCAGCTCTGTCCTGGATTTCAGAGTTGGAGTTTGATTGAACAGGTTCAGTTGAGATGAGATGCCCGAGGTAGGGTTTTGTAGGATTATCTGTTGTGGTACGCTCATATATGGGCTTCCAAGTTGCACTGGATTTCTGTTGACTTCTGAGTGCAACGCAAGGAACTGGTTATCATCTATAAAGCTCTTCATAGCGTAGGACCTGGCTGCTTGTGAGTCCACCAGTTTTTTATTCATCTGGTAAGATCAGGCAAATCATGGTTTGGGTCCCATCAACAAGCAAGAAGGAGAGAGGGAAAGAGAGAGAAGGGAAACCTAATTGGAATTATTGACTCAGTTGGCTACTGAAATTGAATGAATTTTGAACGAACAAATAATATCCCCAGAATGCATTACTTAGTTTTTTCAAGGAGAGGGCATTTCAGTCCAAAATTGTTTAAACCCTATTTTCCTAATCTGGTAAAAAGAGCCAACTGACAGTGTATCTAACTTGTCTAGATTGAGTTCAGTTTATTAGTCATCAGTTTATCCATTATCATTATTAGATATCAGCTGACCACTTTGATTGTTGATCAGAAAAGTCGGCAGTTCGGTGGTTCGAATCCCTAGTGCTGCGTAATGGAGTGAGCTCCTGTTACTTGTCCCAGCTTCTGCCAAACTAGCAGTTCGAAAGCACGTAAAAATGCAAGTAGAAAAATAGGAGCAACCTTTGGTGGGAAGGTAATAGCGTTCCGTGTGCCTTTGGCGTTGAGTCATGCCGGCCACATGACCACGGAGACATCTTCAGACAGCATTGGCTCTTTGGCTTTGAAATGGAGAGGAGCACTGCCCCCTAGAGTCAGGAACGACTAGCATATATGTGCGAGAGGAACCTTTACCTTTAAAATATACCAGACACTTGTGAATTTAATACTGCAAATGCCAAACAAAAGTTTTTCGCTTCCACCTTCTGTAGTGAAATTAATCTCTGAAATTGATATCAAATCCACCTAAAGGATCCAGGAATAGGAATATAGTCTGATATATTAGGCTGAAAAAAGCCTTATGGTTACAAAGCTAGTTCAAAATCATGTAAATAATATGTGCAAATCAGCACTATTTTGCACATTATACACATAATTTTTTGATATTTTAAATAACTTAGTTTCATTTTATTTGTAAAGAGACTTATAAGAATATTGAAACCCTGATCCTTAACTATTGAAAATTTTAGTCAATCTGTCTTCCTGTAATACCTGCTTTATATATGTATGTGTGCATTTTAATAGAAAAACAGCTTCTCAGGAACTTGTATTTTGTTTATACAAGCTTATTTGTCCTCAGTAGGAAGAGACATATAATACACAATTATTTTAATTGTG